AAGCGAAACAAAAGGCGTTTGAACGGTGCAAATGTTTCATTTTTAAGCCGTTTAAACGCGTTTGGATTGCGTTTATAAACGCCGTTCGTAAACGCGTTTTTTAGAGCCGAAATTGTTACATGGGTAGTGTAAAAATGTTCTTGATCACAATAATCATTGATCATAATAATTATCAAAAAAGATTATTTTTTTATTAGAACATCGAATTTCTTTCTAAGAATTGAAGAAATTCAGAATTCGTTAGTAGACAAAATATACATTATTGATTAATTTTCTCTTTCATTCTATATCTTAGATTTTATGATGTACTATTATTAAAAATCCAATAAAATGGATGATATAAATAAAAGAATCATCGAACTCTTAAACACAACGAATTTACCGACTGTCGATATACTCGATCAATCAAAAGAAACTATTTCACAAATAGGAAATGATATTCTCGATAAATTAAATACTTTTGTGCTTACAACTTTACAACTTCCTAACGATAAAATTCTATTGAAACTAAGAAAACGAACTGATAATATATTCCTCACAGTTGAAAATTTCGCATGGATTATTTGGAATCGAATTAATCACCAACAACAAATTAATGAATATGAAGTGAAATTCTTAAAAAATGTTGGAATATTAAATAAAACAATGGTTGATTTAGACATAGATGAACATGATATAAAATGTTTTTGTATGATTGAATATGTGATAGCACCAATGATATTTAAAAAAGAATTTATAAATATATTTGAATCAATAATAAAAAATATTCAGCATTATGAACAGAATTTCTCTGTTATAAATATTATCTGTCAATGGCTTGATACAATATCATCTATTCATTATTTTTTACGAATGAAAAATCGACATTTACGACACCAACAAGATCCATTTACAAAACTAATAACAACGATTATTATTAGTCCAATCTATCGACAATCTATCGAAAAAAATTGTCAAATTAATATTGAAATCAATCCAATTGCACAATTTTATATTAGTTCATGTTCATTTTATTATGCATTTATTTCAAATTTAGGAAATTGGACTGACATTATCGAACCATTATTCTATTATATTAGAAAGTTTATAATTTTCCATAGTCAATCAGCATCTGAACAATGGTCATCAAATATATTTAATTGTATCAAAAGTTCTATTACATTAATAACTCAATATTATGAAAATATATACTCTAAAAAAAGTTATGTAATTATTATACCAATGATTAAAAAACCTAATATTTATTTTGATAATACTAATGAATATGTCAAATCTATATTAAATATTTTGAATAATAAATCTATTCAAAATAAATTATTATTTACATGGTCAAATGATGAAACTATTGCTATTGATATGATAATTACTTATTTTTTAAGATTAATCATCTCTGCAGAACAGATTAAATATAATATTCTACATTTTCTACGTACAAATGATACTATAGATACAATTTATTCATTGATATTAAAAGATGATTTATATATACAATTACAAACTCGTCTATTTACATTGTTTTCATTTTTAGTAAATGATACTATTCTAAATCAATTTGATTTCACAAATAAAATCACAGTTTTATATTATACACGAATTGAAAAAACATTAACTCGATTATTACAAACAAAAGATGATATTGAAGAAGATAATATGCAAGTATATTTAGCAGATTTTGTGAATATATTAAAAAATGATCTAATACAAAAGGAGATTATTAAATTGAATAAACTTGATTTTTTCCTTAATCTTGAGGATAGATTCTATTGTATTAAAAAATGTGAAATTCTTTGGATATTATCGTTTCATTCCTCAATAAAACCATGTCTAAAAAATATTCCATTTTTATCTTCATCAAGACATGATATTCGGTTAACCGGTCATCAAAATGACTATTATATTGATCAAGCTATCTGGGGAATATTATGGAATTTAGGTGATCATCAAGGACTTACACGAATACGTCAAAAATATAAAAACGAACATTGGCATAGTGGAAGTATGGAAAATTGTATTTCAATCGTTGATTATGATGTAATAATCAATTATTATGAAAGTGATCGCGAACAAGTTGAAAAATTAACAAAGAATTTACGAGGATATGGTATACGTCCATTATTATATGAATTCCCATCGACACATCATGTAAGAACAAATATTCTGATAGATATTATGGAAGGAATTGAAATATTAAACATTATATTATATGTTTAAGTGACAATTGTGCTCGTAGTCAATTTTGTAAAGCTATTTTACAATATATTCATAAGAAACAACTAATAATAATACCTATTATTATAGAAAATAAATACACAATTACACACGATTGGCTTTATTATATTATTGGTTCATTATCTACTATTTATTTTGATGATAAAGAAATAGTGTCACAATTAATACATAGAATAACAAATCATGATAATAGTCTTATTACTGAATATAAGAATCAATTGCCACCTTCAAATGATGATAACGTCACAGAGGATAGTTTATATGGTTTATATAATGATTGCAAAAATAATGAAATTGAGAAAATAAAAGGGTATATCAGTGAAATGACAATTACACAAATAAATAAACAACAATCAAATGGTAGCACACCTTTACATGTATCTGCTTACTATGGTCATTATGAAATAGTTAAATTATTATTATCACATGGCGCATGGAGATCAATAAGAAACAAACATAATTTAACAGCATATAATGAAGCTCGAACAGAAGAAATTCGTCAACTTCTTTTACGAAACAATGATAATTATTATTTTATTACAGATATAAATAATAATAATGTCTTAGAATGGATAATTGTGTATGATAAAATAAAAACACAACGAACATTATTTCGACAACAATTTTTAGGTAGTACACATGTACCATTAGATTACCAAAGAATACTGGAAACATTTCAGACATGTTATTTACAAAAATTACCATTCGAACCAAAATTAAGAGCATCATTAAATTTATATTTTACTATGGCAGCAAAAGATGATGATTTGAGATACGTATTAAGTGCTTATACGTCACCAACAATATTTCACAAAGTGCTAAATAGAGATCTTGCAACTTATGCCTTACATTCTTTTGATTCTACACTAAAGAAAACACAAGATTATTCATTTTCTAATTCTATTATTGATCTTATTGCATTATTAATTCAGTCTAATCAATTAGATTCTTTTTATTGTCAAAATAATAGAACGACTTATCGTGGTATGCTTATGACACTTGATGATTTAAAAAAATACAACGTTGGTTCACAAATAATGAATGTAACATTTTTATCTACATCAACAAATAAACAAATTGCAGAAATATTTGCTGGAGAAGGTGCAATAGATTCTCTAAGACAAACACCTGATCATATACCTATACATTTATCAACCCTATGTATATATCATATAAAAAATACTCGAACAGCATTACAAATAGCAGACGTATCAGAAGTATCTGCTGAAGAAGAAATATTAATTTTGCCATTTTCAGCGTATGAAATTGTCAGTATTAGAAAATGTGATGAAAAGAAAAACAATGGAATTATGATGGAAATTGAACTAGAAGAATGTGATGAAACAATCTAGTTTTTTGGTTCTCTCAGTTTACTTTGAGATTCATAAAATATATGAAAACAAGACGAATAAAAGTATTTTTCCTATACATAACACATGATGCAAAATCTTTGCAAAATTATAGACTAATATCGCCTCATTTAACTCATCTGGACATACTATATATGAGTTGGAATCAAGATGATACACTACACTGTAATCTTGAATTAATTTCTAGTTTATAGAAAATCAACCGAAAAATCGCCGGGGATTTTCTAGTTTATAGAAATTCCTCGACGAATTTCCAGCTTTCTGGGAAATGTTGATTTTCTA